CCCCCCCAGCCGCCCTGCCTGCCTCCCCCACCTGAATCCCAAATACCCCCGCCCCTCCCAAAGCCCATCCCCGCGCACCTCACAGGGTCCTTGATCCCCACAATGGCCTGCGCCACCAAGTTGGCGTCCACGCCGTCCGGGTTCGAGAAGAAGTCGGGGGCCCGCGAGGGGTCGACCGCGTCAAAATCGGTGTAGGTGAGGCAGATGCAGCGCAGCCCGCGCGACGCCATGCCGATCACGACCTGGTGGGGGGGAGAGGCAGCCGCGGCGCGGGGGCGTCTGGGGACAGGGGGCCCGGCCAGGGAGGGGCCAGGTGGTGGCGGCGGCGGCGAGGTGGGGCCTCGCCAACACTGCGACGGAAAACGGCCACAAAGCGCGGAAAGTCCGCCAGGGCCCCGCGGTGCACGCCGCTGCAAAGCGGGCCTTGCTCCGCCTCGCCAGTGGGCCCCCGAGCGGCCCAACGCAGCCCCCAAGCGTCCTCGTCCCCGGCACCGCCCGTCTCCACACATACGCACATACTCACACACAAACTCACACACAAACTCACACACTAACACAAAAACAAAGCACACACACGAACACAAAGAAAACACACACACAAACACAGACACACACATACATACACACTCAAGAAACACCAACACACGCACACACGCGCACACATACATGAACACGAACACATATTCACTCCCTCGCTTGCCAGTCGAACCACCCCGGTCCCTCCCCCCCAAAAAACCACCCTCTGCTACCCTCCAGCCCAGGCCCACGGGGCGCACCTGCATGAGCTCGTCCCTGTCCGGCCCCGTCATCGCCACCACCTCGCCGCGCGCATCCACCATCGCCACGCAGCGCTGCAGCACCCACTCCGCCGCGCCCTTGTTGTACAGCCGCAGCCGCCCGCCCTTGCGCACCTGACGGGCGCAGCAAATCGGGGTTTAGGGTTCAAGGGTCAGGGTTCAGGTGTTCAGGCGCGGCAATGGGCCGCAGGAGGAGTCGGCGGCGGGGCGGGGCCGAGGCGAGGCGAGGCGCGACGGCGCGGCCAGGGAGGGTGGAGGGGCGGCGCCGGGGCGCTGGCAGTGCGGCGGGGACGCGGCCTGAGCGACGGCTGGGGCGCGCGCGCCGCCTGGTGCGGGGCGGCCGGCATGCCCTCGCGGTCGCCGCTTCACGGAACGCCCGCGCCCCAGCCATCGGGCCGCTCCCACACGTTTTGATGCTCAGGGACCACCCCGCCCCCCTTGGCCCAAGCCTCAAG